TTCGGATACCCCCAAACTCCATGAAAATGGTCCACAAAACCGCTTTCAAAATGGTTAAGGCCTTGTGGAGGTAAGTCACTTTGTATATTCGCTTTTTTGCACATATGCTCACAAGCTCCAGTACCTTAATCTGGTCCATTTGGCATGCACATGGGCTCGTTTGGATACCCCCAGACTCCCTGAAAACGGTCCACCAAACCGTCTGTGAAATGGTTGAGGCCTCATGGAGGTAAGTCAAATTGTATATTTGCCTTTTTGAATTTATGCTCACAATTGCTCAGCACCTTAATCTCATCTGTTTGGCATGCATGTGGGCTTGTTCGGATACTCCCAAACTCCCTGAATATGATCAACAAAACTGTTTATGAAAAGGTTGAGGCCTTGGTTGATTGTTATACATTGAATATAAAGAAATATAATTGAATGGGGTTGATAATACTGTGGAAATGTTGAGGAAGCTTGCAAGAACAGGGCTAGCAAATAATTTGAGTAAAGAGAGAGCAGAGGCATCACTATTCATATGCTTAGGGTGCTAAAAGCAAGTGTTAAGCAATGATTTGGTAGATTTGACTAGAAAATACAATGAGGAGGATGAGGCGTTCAACTGTGGGAAGAAATCATTTTCGTGGGAGAAAGTCAAATTTCAGTGTTACCGCGCTGAAAAAAGTCTTGAGATCCCAGGTAATAAACGAGTCTCTTCGTAAACTCAGAGGACTCGTAAACCAAGAGATTGTGAATAATGTTACAGTAACAACGTCTAAAAAATTGCAAAATCATTTGACATTTATTTACAATTCTTTATAATCATTTGCTTCAAATCAATGTGGCTTGCATTCAATGTTATAAAGATATTAATCTAGAATTCTATTTTAATGTTAAATTTATCAAGACAAAGTTCTAATTTAAAGTTGAGAATATACAGCCAAAACAAGTTCCTGATCTTGATAGTATCTAAGATCATTATTGCTTTTATCATCTAGCTGCCCATCTTCTATACACTTATTTTTGGTGGTTATCCCATTATGGAACCAAACTTTACCTTCATATGAAAAAACTCTAGAGGTGAAATGATTATCCCCATGGTATATGATCCCTCTCAGGCTCAGTAAAACTTCTTCTCCATTTACTACAAACTTTACCTTGTGACTAGTTTCAGTATTACAGTATGGGTACTCCAGGATGATAATCTTTGGAACCTCTGCATAGGATACATGCTCAATCATTTCACCTGAGCAACCCCCACATATTTCTGTAGATGGCTTCTGAATTGATCCTATCCATTTTGAAGTTGATGCTGGTATAGGGTCAGATGCATGTAGAACATATCCCAGTGTATCATCTACTTCATATGCATTTCCACA